TATTGTTTTTCATCTATAAATATGAACCACTGTTTTGCCTATTGAAGACTATACTATAGCTTAGGGAAAGTAATAATTACTGTCTTGAAATGCAAAAGAAAACTAAGCAATAAAGTCAGTTAGAATATATTATTTCATGAATGGTAATACTTTCTCAAAATTCAACAAAGGGAGCTAAGCTGTGTTAACAGTTTCCATATGTGAAGAATATTGATGAGAAATCATTTTGACTGATTTTAATGTCATTATAGCTAATATTAATCCTAACCCCCTTTTCCCCTAAATTAAAAAATAAGTGTAAAAATATTCTCCGTTAGTGAAGATGCATGAAAATCACAGAGAGACCAAACCTGAAGCAAAACTCTAATGCACTTTTAGCCTGTGTTCTCACTTTAAGTTCTGTACATCTCTGCTGACTTGGAGTTGTAAACTTTGAAACTCTCATCATAGGGCCGTGACAGCCTCTGAGTTTGGGATGTTTTACTCAATTTTTTTTTACAGTTGTATGTTTGTAGTTTTTAGTAGTCAGAAACTAGAAGCATTTCTAAACTTCATGACTAATAGTTGTTAGCCTCATTTTGAGTAAATACTTATAGTCACCTCATATTGTCAGGTACTGCTTATAGTATTGGTTTCAAGGGCTTCTCTTAGTGTTTCAGATATACCAAGACCAGCCTCTGGGGGATACATAGAGAACGTATATAACAGCCTTAGGTTTCCTGCCTGGTATGTGAGTGTTTTAAAAGAGTATATATGGATAGATTTTTTTAAGTTTGGCAATTTTCTATAGAATAACTTTATTTTAAATATAGAAAGCATGAGATGCATCATGTAGGGTGGCAACTCAGTTTATGTGTGGGATGTTTAATTGAGAGATATTACTTTCAGTCCCCTTCTTTTGTGAGCTGTGCTATGAACTGCAAACTGTGTGCATGTGTATAAAAGGTTAAGAGCCCAGGTAGCTGAGTGGGGTGCCGTGCTGTTAGCAGACGACGAAGGCAGTGTTATTCACCAGGTGCATGCCATCAGCTCTGTAGAAGATTCCATCTTCGTGGAGTCATCTCATGGTCCACTTTTTCTTGAAGCCAGGTAACATTTCCCACAACCAGTGGGTTGCCTTTGTTGGAGTTTTTCCAAGTGGAAAAACTAAACACCTAAGTATTTTCTTCCCTAACTGTTTTTTAAAAAAATGAAACATTACCTGTTGGAAGAACTAACTTGCAAGGTGGCATGAACCTGTGTTATCACTTTGCTTTGTAAAATAATAATTATTTAAGGAGTGACTTTTTTTTTTTTTTTTAATAGAAACTGGGTAAGATAAGTTGGAGTGCTTTGTGTTGTTTTACCATAGTGATAAGCATGGAGCACTTTGCTTGTATTGTAAACTTGTTTCTTAGGGATGTACAGATTGCATTTTGTGATAACTAATGTGATTGTTCTCTCTTTGACTATTACTGAGACAGTAGTTTTGTATAATTTTTAGATTTTTGGCTCTTAACTCTTTTGCATATGTCAGTGTCTTGGTCTTTTAATGATGTCTGACTCTTGCTTCAACTCTGTTTGTTTAATTTAGTTGTGAAATAACCTAAACTAGACAGTTTCTCTAAGCTCTTAATTCTGTAAGTTTTCTGCATCACCTCAATTGTGTTCACTTAACTAAAACTTCAGTGACGCTGAATAAAATGTTCCAACCTTTGCTTTAAAGCTGTATCCTCTTCATGGTAAGCTGTCATACTTGAGACCCTTGGGGGTGCTTAGCAGTGTTATTAACTGAGCATGCTCACAAACTCAGTTTGTGATACAGGCTGTCCCTGTTCTTGTCATGCATAATATGGCTTCTTTTATGTCATTTACCTTTCAGTCCATCATGTTACATCATGTCCTTTAGTTGGTACCAATGTCACTGCCTGTCTGATACCAGGGTTTGGTTCGTCTGTTTGTTTTTTTCTTCTTCTTTCTTTAATCAGCAGTAACCAAATTAATGCAAACTTGTAAATCTTCCCCCACCCCTTTGGGATTTTTTTGGTAAATTTTTATGGGACTCAGTGTTTCCAAAGTTGATTTTAAGCATTGCTCTTAGAAAAGTATTGTCACTTGTCACTTAACTGCTTACAAGATAGCTTTTGGTTCCTGGGGACAGGAGATTGCACATTAAGTTCCATGAAATTGACTCTTAAAATTGTGAGGTCTCAGTCTTACCTCTCATTTTGAAGGACCATACTGGTTTTAAAAAGTGGCAGGTTGATTTGTCTAAGTTCTCCGCTTCCCATGTGAAGAAAATTTATAACATTTTGGATGTTGTTTACTCCCAAATAGTAACTAATTATAGATATTTCTTTATTAATGTCTACAGTATGTCTTAAGATAATGATTATCTAAGCAATGTACATGTGGCTTTATTGATAAATGTTTTTGGTGACCATTACTGTATGCAATTAGCCTGACAAGTGTGCTAATACTTCCCTAAAAGTAGATTGTTCATATAACTGTTTTTTTCATACTAATCATGTTTTAAACATTAATTATATTTTTTGACTACAGGCACGTGACACAAGCTGACCTCAAGAGCTCCACATTTTGGCTTCGAGCAAGTTTTGGTGCTACTGTTTTTGCAGTTTTGGGCTTTGCTATGTACAAAGCATTATTGAAACAGCGATGATTTAAAAAAAAAAAAATACTGGCCCTACCAAAAACAAATACTTTTATGTACATTCTGAATGCTTTAAATTCCGCTAGAAATATTGAGATATTTATACATGCAGAGTTACTTTGTTAATATTTGTAATTCATGCGTAAGAGTATTTTAATGATAGTTATAACTGCAGTATTGGCTAGCATATGGAAGGAAACAGCTTAACGGCCAAACTAAAATGACTAACTTTCAGAGGCCGAAAGGGAATATTTTGTAAATAATGTACATATTCAGGCAAGGTATGGTCTCCCAGACTGAGTTCAAGAAATGATGTCTCTAGACGTTTCTACATGGTATTATTAGTGCTCAGTTGGCTCACTCTCCTAGGTTTAAGTCAGCTCAGAGACTTTATTTACTCATTGATCACTTATTTATTTCACATTTACTCAGAATGATCTTTGGGTACTTTAAGTACACGAGGCACAATTTGCCTTTTTCTCTCCGTTTTTAAAAACGTGACTTTCTTTCAGTCCCATCCTTCATGGTAGGCCAGCCTTGAAGCCATCGTTCAGTCTAGAAAATTGTATAGCTGAGTGTGATGCTCTCCTTTAGGGAAGGAGTAAGCTCAAGGCGATTAGCAAAGGCGTCACCTGTGTGATTATTTTGTTTCCTTTGTCAGTATGTTGAATTTTATAGCCCTTTCAATGAAATGAGAAAAAAGATTTGTATATTATCAATGTTTTTAGTTTAAATAAATAGTCACCATTACTACTATTGAGTTTCCTCCCAAAGTGTAAATCATTCTATAATGGCTGTGTCTATTATAGTATATTACAGTAGCTGCATGTGTCATGAAGTGTTCTATATCTGGCTAGGATAACCTAGAAGCAGCACTTTTTTAAATGGTGAAATAAATCTAATGAATAAAACTCTCATTATGAACCTATTTTTTCCATCATTGACCTTTTCAAGTATTTAAATAAATAAGCACTGTGTACTGTGATCTTGAGTTTTTTGTCTAACAAAAGTAAATATTTCTGTACAGATGTGAATGAAATCCTCTGGTTTCTGTCTTTCCTGTCTTGAAAATTATTTTTTATATAAAAAGATAATACTTATTAGGAAAGAAGACAAGTATGATTTGTATGTATCAGAGGAAATCTATTTTAAAGTTGTGGGGAAATCTATTCTCAGAAAAAGGCAATTGTTTTCCCCTACACATACCTAACTAATGTGGTTTTTGCTACGATTTACATGTTTATTTTCTCCTTTAACATGGATTTTTTTTCCCTCTGTTCTTCTGAGGGGTGTTTTCTCCCTAAGATCACACCCCTTGAGCAGCTAGGAACAACATGATTTATTAGCTATAAGCTTGTGAACTAATGTGTGTCATGTTCACTTCATAATTCCATGTCTCCCTCCCCCCTCCCATTTCCATTCTGAATTTGAGGAAAAGGAAAATTGAGCAAAAAATCTGGTGGCTCCTCATTTTCATTATTTTCTGAGAGTTTCTCATTTACCAAATAAATTTCAGTTACACAGCTTCCAATGACAGTTAATTCTTTCCTTCCAAGTTCTTCCCTGTTCAGACTGAAATATTATTTTCAATGAGTATGCCCAAAGGTGAAAAGTAGTATGTTTGCATATTTAGATTTTTCTCTCTTAATCTTTTCGCTTGAGGCCTAAGTGTCTGATTCACAAGAAGGCACCTGCCCTATTTCTTTACCTGCTCTTGACACGTCTCCCTCCCTGGAGGAAGCCTTCCTCCACTCTCAGTCCAGGCAGGGTGGGTTTGCAGAGGAAATGCTCACTGTTTTCTGCTCTTTAATCTACAGGCTCATGTGGATCTTTTTCCTTGTTTCATATCCACGTTAGGGACTAGTTAATGTGGGGAAATATGTGAATCAATACAGTAATAGGCCTCTTCTGGCTTTTACAATTTACTCGAAGGTGCAAGCTGTAAGAGTACTAAGGAAAAATGAGGAAAATAGGACTTTGAGGGTTGAAAGGAAACCTTTCACTTTGCACCAACTGCATTATATTTTAAATGGACAATTCTGAAACTGCTACGGTATTTTAACGAATTTTCGAGGCGGTCCTGTGAAGAAACATCACTTTGAAGGTTTGTAGTCCCTTGGCATAATGTAGTAACTTAGCCTTAATTAGCACATCAATGGTCTGTTGCTTCTTGCCATTCATCTGTCTTTCTCTTTCACATTTGACCAAAAAATGGGCCATGTCCCACACTGGCAGAGCTTATGAGTGTTATAGTAGGAGTGGGCTGGTGTTAGGAGTTTGGGAAGCACATCACCATTCTGAAATGGCCTGTGAGATGAGGTAGGAGGGTTGTGGATATCTGTTTGTGCAGATCTGTACATCACCTCTGTCAGAGGAAGGCACCAAAGAGGAGGTATACTGCTGAGCCAGTCCTGATTGAAAGGAGAACTTTTCTGACCTGAGGGAAGGCAACTGAATAATGACTAGCAGAGGGGAAACAGAGGTAAGTGCTCAAACTCTGTATAGGGCATAAACCTTTCCTAAACAGACCCTCACAATGCACCTGGTGTTAACTTTGATGCCCCTTTTGTCTCAATTTTACTAGTAAACATCAGTGTAAAAGTGTCTTTAAAATACATGTGCAAATCTTAAAAATGAATATGTGACCTAATTTTCATTAGCACATTTATTTGGCATCATCCTCGAATTTTTAATAGTCCATGTGATTTTAGGAAGCTGATTCGGGACTAGATGCTTTTTGAGAAATACCCCATGTCAAGATTCTAAATTTATTTAATGTTTGTAGTATGAGAATGCTCCATGCAGGTAGCCTGAACCAAAAACCTCGATCCCCAGATTCACAGTCCCAATAACCCATTTGTTAAAACCTCTAATCTTACAAGTACTTCTTGTCTTTTAAACTCTATTTATCAAAAGGCTCCATCAGTAACAGTGAATGTCTGTTAACCTGTTTGGCTCTCAGCTCTTTGGAAGTCTCTGACCTGTGAGTATCACAGTTACTGTGTCTCAGATCTCTCTAGTGCATCCCCAATTCAAAAACTATGTCCCCTTGCCTCCCGTGGCATGCTTACACTTGTCATACCATTTGTCTCAGTTATTTTTGGTTCAGAAAACACAGACACCTTACTAAAGGGTGAGATTTTGAAATCATTAGGAAACTTCCTAACTTCGTAGTGCCATTCTGGTTCCTAGCTGTATTTTCCAGTGATAATGTTTTACTCTGTCGTTTTCTCTTCTCCTTTAGCATAGAGAGCTGCAGAAAGACAGTAAAATTGAGAGATTGTCATTCCTTCTGGGTTTGAAAGCTGCATGTCAGATACACACAAACAAGGAGGCCTTGCCAGTATTATCCTCATCTGTTGAAAAATTCAAGTTCTGTACGAACACTTTTCCTCTTTCAGTATTTTCCTATTCATACTTTACCCATGTCTTTTATGATCTAAATAACCCTTGGAAGTGTTTGTTATTAAAATGACATGGGTATATAGGCTGTGGTGTAACTTAGGGGTCGCAAACTTTTTCTGTAAAAGGTCAGATAGTAAATATTCGAGATTTTTGCAGCTGCTCAACTATGTCATAGCAAGAAAGTAGCCACAGACATTATGTAAACAAATGAGCGTGACTGCATCCCAATAAAACTTTATTTATAGGCACCGAAATTTGAACTTTGCATAATTTTCACTTGTCAAAAAATATTCTTACTTTGATTATTGTAACCACTTAAAAATGTAGAAACTATTCTTGGCTCATGGACTGTAGAAAAACAGGCTGTGGGCCAGATTTGACCAACTCCTTGGTGTAATTGATGAAAGTACTAGTAGTAAATGCATAGCAGGTTAAAAAAATTTACCTGATTGTTTCGGAATTTGAAAAGGTACAGTACTAGGAAGAACTTAAAACGACTGTAGTCATGTTTTATTTATAGGGAAACCAAGATTGGACCTGCAGAAAGTGTTTGATTTCTTTCACTCTTACTGATGGTCCTGTTGTTCACCAGAACATGGTGCTCTGGCTGAGCTGGCGCCCACCTCGCAGCATGGCACTCAGAAGGTAAAGGGAGCGTCAATTCCACTTCCTCTGAGCACTCATCTGGAGCTGTTGTTTTGATACTTGATCCATGTTTGCTTTCCCTTTGTCTGGTTGCGTAATTGACATAGGTGGAAGGTGAAGGAATCCTACAAGAATGTTTCCTTTGAACTCTAGTTATCTGGGGACTGTCCCCTTGTGTGCCTGACAGTGTGATAATGCTGCTTATTTCTTTAGATTTGAAAGTCAAAATATCAGAGCTTAAATAGACCACAAAGACCATCTGTCCAACTCTGTACATTTATAGCATAAACTGAGCACAAAGCCATACAATTAGTGTGTGCCTGGGCTAGGACTAGATGTCCTGATTCCCAGTTCGGCACTCTTTCCACTGTAGGAGCCAGCCTTAACAACTTGCCTTGATTTTATACCTTTAGTAAATATGCTGTATGTTCAGTTTAAAAACGCAGGCAAGAAAAAGAGGAGAGAGAGAGAAAGAAAAAAATAAACCAATAAAGAGTTTGACATTTCTATTACTAAGAAAGGTTAAAGTTGGCAAAGCAAATTTTCTGGATGCTTTTCAGTTCCTCCGAGGCATTTTGCCTTCCCTTCTTGTAGCTGTCACCAGGCAATTGATGATGTCTATTTAGAGGAGTGCAGGCTTGGTGGTTAGGTTTATTTCAGGTACAGATAATTGAGGGAAGGTAAGGATGTGTAACTACTCTTTTAAAAGCATTCTTTGCGGGTTTTGTTTAATTGTTCTAAAATTGTTAATTTTGAAAAAATTACTGTTTTGCTTTTTATTTATAAATGGAAGAGTATCTTGGAACAGGGGCTTGAATGGAGGGGAAACCTCCTTAGGCTAAAGTTTTGTCATTAACTGTTTTTATCTCTACTTTTCCAGTCTGCCTCTGGGATTTCTATAATTCCAGCCTCTTTTATCCCAGCTTGTTCTGTATATGGTCTAGAAGAGCATCAGGAACTCAGTGTGTCTTCATATACTCTCTTACTCTTTCTACTGATTCCCTGTAGGTTCTTTTACTTTCCCCCCAGATTCTTAAAGTGCGGTCACGACACCTGGGAACTTGTAAGGAATACAGTTATCAGGTCCCACCCCAGACCTAGTGAATCAGAAACTTGAAGGTTGGGGCCCAGCAAAATCTGTGTTAACCACCCACGGCCCCATCCCATGATTCTGCTAAAGTTTGAGAACCACTGCACTAGACACTGAGGAGGTAGAAGTAGTTCAATCCAATGGCTTTGCCCTCAAAGAGGTTATAGTCTGGATAACTAAGTTAACAGTGGTTAAATTTTTTTAAAGACAATTTAATTATGTGTAAGTATAATTTTAATTTAAAAAGGGAATAAACTTAACATCTTCCCTTTCCTCTTATGATAAAATTCAAATCCTAAGGTAGTTTACAAAGCCCTGAAGACCTGGCCCCAGACCTTCTTTGCAGCCAAATGTACACTGTCCCACGTGACTACCCTCTAGTCAAAGAGATCATCTTTCGGCTCTAAGAATGCACCTTGCTCTCTGTGGAGTGCTTTGCCAGATGCTCCCTCCATCTAAAACCCTGTCCTCCCAGCTTCTCATCTTTTGGGTCCCAGAGGGTCAAGGCCAGGATGCCAGTGTCCAGGAGCTGAGTCTTGGTGTTTAAGATACATGTGTCCACTTCATCCTCCTGTTCGCGGCATTGACACCCCTGCCCTCACTTGTGCTTTGTCCAGTTACTGTCTCTTTTACCCTCTCTAAAGATTCCGTTAAAGGGGTTTAAGCAGGGGAGTGATGTACTAGGCAGGTCTTGACAAATTGCCTGTTCCCCTGTCCCTGGGAACTGAACCTGGGGTAGCTGACCAGTCTCCGTCCTGCTGTATTGGCAGTGAACTGAGTCCCAAATCTTTCTACCGCAGCCCTCCCAGCCCCCCACTATTGTGTGCCTACCTAACCTTAAAGTACCCAGGGGGATACATGTCAATCTGCTTGTGTCTAACTTAATTTTCTTGATTTATCCAACCCTTGCTTTTTTTTTTTTTTTTTTTTTAATTTCTTAGTTGCTCTGCAACATGTGGGATCTTCCCGGACCAGGGCTCGAACCCGTGTCCCCTGCACTGGCAGGCGGATCCCTAACAACTGTGCCACCAGGGAAGTCCTGCAACCCTTTCTTAAGAAGCAACTTTACTCAGTCACTGTAGCCCTTGTGGAAACACTGACTGGCAGCCCTGGAAACGAAGGATCTTTAGGTGGTATTGGCAATTCACTAGGTTGCTGGGGGAGGAGTAGAAAAGCATGGACTTAAGAGCTAAAATTTTGAATCCCAACTTTGCCACATTCATTGTACAAACGACTTGATTTTCTGGTTCTGTTTCCTCTCTCTAAAATGAAGATTAGGATCACTGTGCACATTCACTAAGATCCGTCCCTGGTGGTATTTCATCTTCCTCCTTCCCCAGGAGAATAGATCTTCATCCCCACAGCAAGCACCACTGAGGGGCAAGGCTCTGCCCCTCCTACGCTTGGGTGGCAGCCAGATTTTTTTTCTACGTGTATCTGACAAATGTCTTGATTAAGCTCTCTTGAGTATTAGGGCCAGTAAAATGTCCCTCGCCCCTGTTGTCTTGGCAGGCGGCACAAATAGCTGACTTGCCTATCTTGCTGGCTACTTTCTCTTTCTCAGTCTCTTGCTGAGTCTTCAACCTGTCTTCAACCTTTAAAGTGTTAGCATATCCCAGGGTTCTGTCCTGAGTTTCCTTATCCTCTCTGCCTATACTGTCTCTAGGTGATCTCATCGAGTGCCCTGATTTTATTTTTCTAAATTTTTATTTTGGAATAATTTGAAACATTTTAAAAGTTGTAAAAATAATAGGGTTTGTCTATTCTGGGCATTTCATATAAATGGAGTCATACAATATGTGGTCTTTTGTGACTGGCTTCTTTTTAGCATAATGTTTTCAGGGTTCATCCACATTGTAGCATGTGTCAGTACTTCATTCCTTTTTTTTTTTTTTTTTGGAGAGGGGGCTGAATAATATTTCATTGTATGGCTATACAGGCAGACCACGCTGATACTGTATTGTGAGTTTGGTACCAGACCACCACAACAAAGTAAATACTGCAATAAAGTGAGTCACTTGAACTTTTTGGTTTCCCAGTGCATATAAAAGCTATGTTTACGCTATACTGTAGTCCATTAAGTGTGTAATAGCATTATGTCTAAAAAAACAATGTGTGTACCTTAATTTAAAAGTACTTTATTACTGAAAAATGCTAACCATCATCTGAGCCTTCAGTGAGTCGTAATCTTTTTGCTGGTGGAGGGTCTTGCCTTGATGTTGATGGCTGCTGGCTGCTGGCTGATCAGGGTGTTGGCTGCTGAAGGCAGAGGGGGTGGGGCTGTGACAATTTCTTAAAACAACAATGATGTTTGCCACATCAGTTGACTTTTCCTTTCACAAATTATTTCTCTGTAGCAGGCAATGCTGTTTAATAGCATTTTACCCACCATAGGACTTCTTTCAAAATTGGCATCAATCTTCTCAAACCCTGCCATTGCTTTATCAACTAAGTTTATGTAATAGTCTAAATCCTTTGTTGTCATTTGAACAGTCTTCACAGCATCTTCACCAGGAGTAGGTTCCATCTCAAGAAACCACTTTCTTTGCTCATCCATGAGAAGCAGCTTCTCACCCATGAGAGTTTTTTCATGGGACTGCAGCAATTCATCACATCTTCAGGCTCCACTTCTAATTCTAGTTCTCTTGGTGTTCCTACCATATCTGCAGTTACCTCCTCCCCTGAAGTCTTGAACCTCTCAAGGTCATCCATAAGGGCTGGAATAAACTTCTAAGTTTCTGTTAATGTTGATATTTTGACCCTTTCCCATTAATCGTGAATGTTCTTAGTGGCATCTAGAATCCTTTCCAGAAAGTTTTCAATTTATTTGCCCAGATCCACAAGGGGAATCACTAGGTATGGCAGCTATAGCCTTACAAGATAGATTTCTTAAATAATAAGACTTGAAAGTTAGAATTACTCCTTGATCCATGATCTGTAGAATGGCTATTGCATTAGCAGACATGAAAACAACATTAATCTCATTGTAAGTCACCAGCTGCATTAGCCCCTAACGAGAGTTAGCTTGTCCTTTGATGGTTTGAAGCCAGGCATTGACGACTCTCTAGCTATTAAAGTCCTAGATGGCATCTTCTTCCAAAATACTGTTTCGTCTACACTGAAGATCTGTTGTTTAGTATAGCCACCTCCATGAATGATCTTAGCTAGGTCTTCTGAGTAACTTGTTGAAGCTTTTCCATCGGCACTTGCTGCTTCACCTTGCACTTTGATGTTATGGAGACGGCTTCTTTCCTTAAACCTCATGAACCAACCTCTGCTGGCTTCACACTTTTCTTCTGCAGCTTCCTCACCTCTCTCAGCCTTCACAGAATTGAAGAGAGTTAGGGCCTTGCTCTGAATTAGGCTTCGGCTTAAGGGAATGTGGTGGCTGGTTTGATCTTCTATCCAGACCGCTCAAACTTTCTCCATGTCAGCAATAGGCTGCTTTGCTTTCTTATCATTCATGTGTTCACTGGAGTAGCATTTTTAATTTCCTACAAGAATTTTTCCTTTGCGCTCACAACCTGGCGGTTTGGCAAAAGCCTGTTTCAGCTTTTGACATGCCTTCCTCACTGAGTTTAATCATGTCTAGCTTTTGATTTAAAGTGAGAGACGTGTGACTCTTCCTTTCACTTGAACACTGAGAGGCCAGCGTAGGGTTATTAATTGGCCTAATTTCAATATTGTTGTGTCTCGGGAGTAGCAAGGCCTAAAGAGAGGGAGAGATGGGAGCAGCTGGTTGGTGGAGCAGCCGGAACACACAACATTTATCGATTGTGTTTGCTTTCTTATATTGGTACAGTTCATGGTGCCCCAAAACAATTAAAATAGTAACGTCGAAGATCACTGATCACAGATCACTATAACAAATACGATAATAATGAAGAAGTTTGAAATACTGCAAGAATTACCAAAATGTGACACAGAGATACGTAGTGAGCAAATGCAATTGGGAAAAATGGCACGGATAGACTTGCTCAACACAGGGTTGCCACAAAACTTCAGTTTGTTTAAAAAAAAAAAAATGCAGTATCCGTGAAATGTCTGTACCATATTTTGTTTATTATCAGTTTATGGACATTTGGATTGTTTCTACTTTCTTAAAAAATAAATAAATTATTTATTTATTTATTTTTGGCTGCGTTGGGTCTTCATTGCTGCACGTGGGCTTCCTCTAGTTGCGGCCACCGGGGGCTACTCTTCCTTGCGGTGCGCGGGCTTCTCATTGAGGTGGCTTCTCTTGTTGCGGAGCACGGGCTCTAGGTGTGTGGGCTTCAGTAGTTGTGGCACTGGGCTCAGTAGTTGTGGCTTGCGAGCTTAGTTGCTCCATGGCATGTAGGATCTTCACGAACCAGGGCTCGAACCCGTGTCCCCTGCATTAGCAGGTGGATTCTTAACCACTGTACCACCAGGGAAGCCCCTGTTTCTACTTTTTGACTATTATGAATAATGCTTCTATGAATGTTTGTGTACAAGGTGTTTCTCTTTTGTTTTGTTTTTTTTGTGGGCGGGGGGGTTGCTGCATCTCACAGCTTGAGGTATCTTAGTTACCCGCCCAGGGATCAAACCTGGGCCACGGCAGTGAAAGTGCCAGGTCCTAACCACTGGACCACCAGGGAACTCCCAGTGTACAAGTTTTTATGTGAACATATGTTTTCATTTCCTTTGGGTATAACCTGGGAGTGGAACTGTGGGGTCATTTGGTAACTCAGTTTTAATATTTTGAGGAACTGCCAAACTGTTTCCCAAAGTGGCTGCACCGTTTTACATTCTCACCAGCAGCATCTAAGGGTTCTTGTTCTCCATATCCTTGCTGACACTTGTTGTTATCTGTCCTTTTTACTGTAACTATTCTAGTGAGTGTGAAGTGGTACCTTCGTTGTGATTTTGACTATTGCTGATCTTGCCCCAAACAGTTACTACTGTAATATTTGCCAACTTTTCTACTTCTATCATTTCTTCTACATTTATTAATTGGAATTGTACTGTGAGAGAGAACAGTGCCTTTCCCCCATATATTATTCAGTGATTTATGTGTATCAGTATATGGGCTTGTGAATATTTACTTTGTTCTTTGCATCATAGTCCATTACTATCATTTATTCCGTTGCTCAGTGTTGCTCAGTGTTCTTTTCTCAGGTTTGGCCAGTGGCAGCGCCTTCAGCTTGGTTCATGTGCCGTTTCAACATGTGCCCATTATTTCTGAGCCCTCCTTTCTGGCCTTGTAAAAAGTTCCAGGCAACCTTTGTACTTACGTACTTCCCAGGCATCATCCTGTACTTTCCCTGTCCTGGTGCTGACACCAACCATTTCTCCATGGAACACTGGTCCTTTTATTATTTTATTAGAAACCAAGATCTCGGAACTAGGTATAGCTCATTGCAACTAGCAGCCCCTTGACTTTAAATTCAATCCTTCAGGGAATTCCCTGGCGGTCTAGTGGTTAGGACTCCGTGCTTTCATTGCTGATGGCCCGGGTTCAGTCCCTTGTCGGGGAACTAAGATCCCACAAGCCACACGGTGCTGCCAAATAAATACATACATACATACATACATACATACATGCATGCATACATTCATTCATTCATTCATCCAGTGACTCCCAAATCAGTATTACCAGGCTTGACCTCATTCCAGAAATCCACGCTTCTGTTGTTTCTTGCCTGTAATTACCTCTGAGGCCCCTTAAACAGAGCCCTTGGTATCCAGCACTAACCACCCCCTTCCCAGTTTTCCCACTTTAGCTGAGTACATTCTCAAAGCAAAAATCTGGGAGTTATTTTCTGCTCTCCCCACCCCTGTAATCCGTCAACAAGTCCTGTTGACTGTGCTTCCAAAAGACGTAACTGTCCTCTTATCTCCATCTCTGCCACGACCACCTAAGTTCAGGCCGCCGTGACTTCCCACCTGGACTAAATGCAAGTTCACTAACTAACTGTTGGCTTCCCACTCCCGTTCTTTTCCTTCTAAAATCCATTCTCTTATGTTGCCATGACTATGCTTAAGTTCTTTTGATGTCTAATCACACTTAAATAAAACCTAGACTCCTTGCCCTGCCTTATAAAGTCTACCTGAGCTGCTCCTTGCCTGCTTCCTGACCTTACCTTGTTCCTAGACCTATTGTGTACCTGCTTCAGAGCCTGTGCACTGACTATTTTCTGCTTGGAATGCTCTTCTCTCATATCTCAGTTTAAATGTCACCTCCCCAGAGAGGAACCTTTCTAGACCATCTAATCTAAAAAAAAAAGCTCACAGAAACATCACCCCGAATTCTTAGCATCTCACCATCTGTGTTTCATCCCTTTTTTTCCTCATGTGTATTCCTTCATTTGTTGAGTGTCTCCCGTGTGCTTGCATATAGACTTTGTGAGAGTAGCGATTTTTCTTTCTTTAAAATTGAGCTATAATTGACATATAACATTATATTAGTGTCAGGTGCACGACATGATTCAATATCTGTATATATTGTGAAATGATCATTACAATAAGTCTAGTTAACATCCATCATATACATAGTTACGAAATTTTTTTCTTGTGATGAGGACTTTTAAGATCTATTCTCTTAGCAACTTTCAAATATGCAGTACAGTATTATTAACTATTGTCACCATGCTGTACATTACATCCCTATGACTTATTTATTTTACAACTTGAAGTTTGTACCTTTTGACCCCCTTCCCTCATTTCACCCACCCCCAACCCCCCACCCCTCAACTCTGGGAACTACCAATCTGTTCTGTGTCTATGGGCTTGGTGGGGGGGGGG